TTTAGGGTTTAAGGGTTTCGGGTCTGAGGTTTCGGATTCAGGGTTTAGGGCTTAGGGCTTAGGGCTTAGGGTTTAAGGTTTAAGGTTTGGGGTTTAGGGTGTAGGGGTTCGGTCCTCGTAGTCAGTCCTACCTGGTCTTGGTCCCAGTCCTAGTCGTCGTCGTCGTCTGTCGTCATCGTGGTGCTGTCGTGGTCGTGGTCGTGGAGGGTTTGAAGTTAACCAAAAGCATTGATTCCTTTTAACTATTTTTTAACAAGAATCTTGCGGGCTCTTTCAAGCTCTCACCAATCCAGTACAGCCGCCGGCACACTTTCAGAGATAGGACCTGACTTCCGAGAAGTCGAGCCCTAAATCACATCTTCTCAAGCCATAAAACTATCACGCACGAGCACAGCCGGCATTTTTGCAGGGTCCCGACACATTCGATATTCCGGTACACATTGAGACTACCGGCAGGTTCAAGAGAAGGTTATCGTAAACCCCTGAGAGCACGAATCCCGCAATTCCTTCACCCGAATACAGAAAGTCTAAAACCCGCATCTCTGAACAATGCCCGGGCCATGGGAGTCTTAAGGGAAGCACTTAACCCTAAACTAAATCTTAGAAGTGGGTCAAGGGTTTCCAAACCCCAAACACCAAAACCCTAAACTCTAAACCCCAGCCCTACACCCTACAGCCCTAAATATAAAGCGGCAGGCGACGATGCACAAAGCACTCCAGAGCGGAGGTTCTTCCATGAGGGCGAGGCTATTTGGGGGTTTTAAGAGGTTCGGGACAGTTTGGTTGAGGGATTGGCGCTCAGGTAGGGATTAGGGTCTAGGGAGGTCTGGATTTCTGTAGGGTTGAGTAGTTATCCTTACTATTCACTCGTGAAACTTTGGGGTTCTAACGTCCAAGAAAGGTTTCGGATGGGTTTCCTTTGCAGCTGGCCTGGCCCAGGCGATTAGCTTTACGGCGTAGATTTTGCAGGGATAAGCAGGGTTTAGGGTTTAGGGTTTAGGGTTTAGGGTATCCTAAACCCTAAACCCCGCTGAACACTCACAACTATCGAAGAAATCCGGCGGGGCGACGACTGCTTGAGGGTTCAAAATGAATGAGCCTCTAGGTGGACAGCCACGCTGCTAGACACAGAGTCTGACTCTGCAGGGAGCACCTCCTGCAACGACGGTAGAGTATGTAGTACATCATGGTCTAATACGGCATATCATAAGATGTTATTATTGTGATTACAGTAGATCAGAGCATATTGTTGTAGTAGTTATTACTAGTATATCAGAGGATATTACTATTAAAGTTACAGTATATCAGCGTATATTAGTATTGTAGTAGTTGTACATCAGATTAATTATTATTGTAACTATAGTATATCATAGTATATTATGGTAAATAACAGTGCCGGACACGGGAATCGGCTGGACTGTTGCTGAAACCCGGTGGGGAGACGGAGCCCGGCAAGATGTTTAAAGAAAGTTTCGCCACGACAACAACGAGGACACGCGATGTGTCAAAAATAGGGGTTGCAGGTTTCATATAGGGATTAGGGTCTAGAGGATTGTTCGCATAAGTTGATTGCAGATGTGTTTGTCCTAGTTAGATCCTGTCATAGCCACTTATAATGTTCCTGAAGATGATACTGCAAGATACCCGCCAGCAACTTTGTTCGAACTGTTTATTTCAGGCACTCGAAAATGTCCTGGGCGATAACACATACCGTCATCATAACCAGAAGGCAGTTGCAGCCACAGGCGGGATGTGGGAAGCCCAGCAGTAAACCCCACACACAAACCCTAAACCCTAGCACCGGTAGGTTCCAAAGACCCTGAGCCTAAAGAAATTCAAATTTGCCTTACAACGACCGGTACCCCTGAACGCAAAAGATTAAGGGTGCAGGGTTTAGGGAATCCCACACGCCAAAACACCCAACCCCCAAAAAATGAAGGCCTTCAACCTTGACACGACTGTGGACCCCTGATTCATAAACCACCTTTCTGTAAAGGCCTCAGTAGTAGAATCTCCGATGTTCATCCTTACTACACTACTCCCCAAACCCTAAACCCTAAAACCTAAACCCTAAAACCCTAAACCCTAAATCCTAAACCCTAAACCCTAAACCTAGATCCTAAACCGTAAATATAGTGCCCCCAGCCGGCTTCGAATGAGGCGGTTGCACCGGATCAGCAGGGCTGCTCCTCGGCTCTGAGAGAGTTTCCAAGACCTTACTTTGAGGGCCCAAAGGACCCAACCAATAGGGATCCACGGTTTAGGGTTCTGGGGGGATGTATGGGACTTTATAAGGGGTTTTAGGGTTTAGGGTTTAAGGCTCCACGGTTTAAGGTTCAGGGTTCTATAAGGGATTTATAGGACTTTATAAGGATTTTGAAGGTCCAAGAGACCCAATAATGTTTCGGATAGTAGTTGTGTAGGTTGCTTAACATGTCGGATTTAGTGCTCAGGAACTTAGTAAGCAGAGGGTACTGTGGGGGATTTCGGTTGTAGTTATCGGGGTTTTATATGGCTCTATTATTCAAGGCACCTCTGTTCATCCTAACCCCTGGATTAAACCGTTTGAAGGCCTTGACGCTGTAGAGTGCGGTTCGGGCTTCGGGCGGGTAATGCAAATGTAGGTGTCTGAACAGATTCCATTTTACCTCCAGTCCCTACATATAAGGTTCCCAAAACCCGCTTGAAAGTATCCAGGCCCTGTATCATCGAGCCCTGAAAGAACCCTGATAGCAACCCTGAGCCCCAAACCCTAGACTCTATATAGAATGTATATAAGGATACCCTTAAGGGAAGCGTATTCTAAGTCTCACGGCCCGTATACAAGACCACTACCACCGGCCAGCGTATTCGGGCTGTACGGTTTGGGGGGGTTTAGGGGTTTTGGGTGTAGGGGTTTTGAGTTTAGGGTTTGGGGTTTAGGGGGTTTTTGGAACTCGGGTTGCGGGGTTTTTCTTGCGCTTCTAGGCTAGAGTATAGCCTGTATAAGGTGCATAAGCCAGGCAGGGCCCTGCCTTCTCTTCGCTGCGTTCTGTCCGCGCTGCAGCAGCTAGGAGTTCGGCAGGCAAGATAGAGGGTTTTGGGTTTAGCGGTTTAGGGTTTAGGGGTTTAGGGGTTTAGGGTTTAGGGTGTCGCTTCAGATGGCCAGCGATATGTGGTCCATGGTCACTGCACTTCCCAACGCGGCTGCAAGCGCGAGTGGCGCTTCATAGAGCCTGTCCAAGGCTTTAGACCCTAAACTACACCCCTAAACCCTAAACCCTAAACCCCTAATCCCTAAACCCCTAAACCCTAATTAAGGGGTGCAGAGATCGTCTGCAAAGCTCAGGGAGGGCATCCTGCCTGTGCAGCCCAGTATACTCGATGCGAGAAGTGCAGCATCCTATAGATTACTATTATCATGAATTCATATAGGGAGGCCTTAATAGTTAGAATAGGGTGTGGGGGGGGGTATATCATACTATGGTTATAATAAGGAACCCCCCAAAACCCTACTCTAATTATGAAGGCCCCGACATGACTCACTCATAGTCACATCCTGTTCGGGCTACAATCTGCCCGCTTCTTGTGCTTCAAAGCCCTCTTCTAACCACTAAGGCCCAGACGCCCAGAATGTCATTGAAAGGGCCTCAGCCGGGTAGAAGCCCCTCCCCAAAAAGCCTAGACCCTAAACCCTAAACCCTAAAAGGCCTGAAGCCCCAAACCTTAAATCCTGGACCCTGAGCCCCCAAAGCCCTAAGCCCGAAAGCCTTTCGATCCTGGAAAGCTCTAAAGCCTGGAAAGCTCCTTCAAGCCATGGTCTAAATAAGGGGCCTGAAACATCAGAGTCGGGTACTCCTTTCAAGGTCACGAGGGTTTAGTTTGGGTTTCGGGCATAAGCCGGCCTTTATGACTTGTGTTTTTGGGAGAGAGGGGGTAGACTATGGTATGGTTACTTATATAAGGACTTGTAGCGGATACTGTTTTGCATTCGCTCTGACTCTACATTCCCTTCCCTTACTAACAACCCTGAAGGGATTATCGGTCGGGATCCGAACATTACCGTGCTTAAGGAGAGGGTGGTTCATGAAGCATATTTCTTCATCCAACAACCTGCCAGCCCTCCCACATGCCCTGAAGCTCAAAACCCTGAAGTTCCCGGCCAGAAAGTTCTGACATAGGACTGGGAATAATTAAGAACAGTGTTCCTTAGGGTTCCAAAAACCGCCATATTCTACTGTTTTGCGCCCCTGCATTAGATCCCGAGGCGTTGTGCGACCGGCATCAAAGCCTCGACTTGTCTGGGACATGCTCGCTATCTTCGTGCTTCTGCCCCTTGGTGGTTTGGGGACGTGTGGGCCGGGGTTTTCGCGTTTAGGTTTAGGCTTCAGTGACTTCAGGTCTCTCATTGGTGTCGAGCCTCGTTTGGAAAAGACAGAAGCCTGCGCAACTACCTATGACTGAGCACAAGACAACATACACCAAAACACTATTTTATGAACCTTCCGCCCTAAGCCCTGTAGCTGCATCCCAAGAAACCTACCCTCTTCGGAGCCGCCTTAAGCAAACCATGATATTTTGTTTAGTTGCCCAGGATGGGTAGGTCCTGGTAGGTTTCTTGGAACCTTGAACCCATGAGCCCTCAGCCCTTTGCCCTAGGTCGCTAGCATTGGAGATTTCTGGTGGAGGGCGCTTCAAGGAGGTTCCCTAAACCCCAAACCCTAAACTCAGCCAATTGAGCCTAGGCGGATCCAGGGGATCCAGGTGGATAGTGCTGATTTGGGCTTTGTCGGGTTGATTGGGGCCTTAGTCGCTGGTTAATTCTGGCAGCTTCTGAAAGGCCTAAGAAAGTGTGGGGGTTATATGCTCTGTTGAACTCTCCTCTTTTCTGGCTTCTGGGCCTTCGGGTAGGAAGCAGAGTCTCTGACCTAAGCCTTAAAGCCTAAACGCTAACCTAAATCCTAAACACTGAACCTTAAACCCTACACCCCAGTAAAGGTTGTAGGGTAAAGTTGACTGAGGTACGACCTCGTTTCGGTACCTCTTGATGCTTTCCGCTTGCAGCAGACGGAGACCTGGCCGCCTTACCCAAAGGGTCGTAAGCAATATAGGGGCCTCAATAATTAGAATAGGGGTTTTGGGGGTTCCTTATGATACGTAACTATTGTATAACTTACCCCCAAGCCCTATTCTAGTAATAAAGGCCCCTGTACTACCTATATAGTGGAATATAGGGTTTTTAGAACAGGAATCACTAGAATGATTTTGGGAAGTATCGACAATAAAAGTACCTAGGCTGAGGGCGAAGTCGTCCATCGCTCATCTGTTTTGCTATCACTGTGAATGCTTGACCTCCGCTGGGTATTTAGGCCTTAAGTTCATGTTGGGTTTTTTGTTGGGATCTATGACCCCAGGCGGCGGACGTGCGCATGGTCTTTCAGTTTGCCGCACCTTGGCTGTAAAGCCCTACCGACCTAAATCCTAAACCTTGAAGCGCAGTGGTAGGATTTTTTGGAGAATGGGGTTTAGGCATCACCTGAACCCCAAGAACCTGCATTTTAAGATGAGAAATCAAAAAACGGTGCGTAACAGGGTAGGTCTCTCGAGCTTTAGAGGTTTGGTTGGCCAATGGTATTTGAGTTTTGAGCCCCTTGGCTAGTGCTTTGTGCTCTTCGGCTTTGCTAAACTTAAATCCACGCCAAGACCCAAGAGTGTCAGGTTTCGGAACTGTTCTGGAGAAAGTATTCCACCGCTGGAATAGCTGGATCCTAGAGTAAGAAACCTCAGCGACTAAACACATGTACTACAATCAGTATCTGGGTACCGAACACGTTAACCTAAGCTCCATGAACCCATAGACCTACATATCCCCTTTTAAAAGAGCGTTGAAGTCCACATGTTGGGTCTTCGGCTGATTCGCTCGTGATTCTTCGGACGTGCAGGATATTCGTAGAGTCCCTATACAGATCTATACTAGACCCAGACCCGAGTCTAAGTGTGGCTTTCCCTTTTCCTGGTTTCTTGTCACTGCTAAGGCGCTGGACTCATTACCATAATGGGGATCTATAGTAAGTAGTACGATTTCTTGATTATGGTCAGTGCAATTAATTTACTTAAGTTGCCTAACAAGAACCCAGTTTCCGTTCTGCAAGACCCATCAAGTCCCAAGCTTTCGGTTAAAGAAAGGTAACGCTTTATTGGCTGCTGGACATCTTCGCGTCCTTCGCGACCGCCGTGTATGTGAACGGCAAGCTCTACATGCGACATTGGGACATCGCACCAAGTCCGCATGTTGATTTGTAGACGCACGGTTGTCCTAAACCCTACAGCCTAACCCGTATGATCCAAAGCGCCCAGTACTGAAAGTGTTATTTTCCATGTAGGTGTGCAGGATCTGGTTGCGTACAGCCTGGCACGCTTTGCTGACATGACGTGCTTTGGATGTTTCTCTTGATGTGTCATTCAGGGGGTAGCGGTGACGACAAATCCGAAAACTTGTGTTTTTTGTCCGTGTCGGAGAGTCCGGGGCTGTCAGTAACCGAGCTGAGGTACTTGGGTTTGTTTGCAGCTCAGGGATTCCGAAGATGCCAGAATTTGTGTACGGTAGGGCTTCTAAACCCTAAACCCTAAGTACGAGCAGCCCTACTTACTAAGTCTTGTGTGGGTGGGGTGTCGTAGCGGTGCCGGGATGTGGCCTTTGCGTGGTCGTCCACTTTGACTAGGCTAGCATGTTAGTCGCAATATGATGTAGTTAACCACAAGAGCAATCGTACATACAATGGTAAATCGATGTATTTGTAAATCGTAAGAATAGAAGTACTGGCAGGAATAGTTGTAAAGTAGTTGCAATATTCAGAAACAGGAAGGGTAATATTTAAGGATGCGAAGAGGAATACCAGTTATAATCGTAATGATAGTACTAAGAATCACACCGTGCGGCTAGGAGTTTCATGAGGACCCTAGATGGGACCTGAATAAGTAGCCATATCATCCCCTGTCCCTTTATGCGTTTTCCATGAAATAACCGAAAGCCTTATGCAAACTGTTCAGGCATGTGAACTTCGCTGAAAATCCCAGGCCAAAGCGTACTGTCGCTCCTGGTTTGTCTTCGATGTCCTGGTCCTCGTCCCTGACATCCTCGTCCTGGTTGGTGATGCTCAGAATGCGCATCCTGGCTAAGGGCTTCAGGCTTCGGTTTTGGGTGGTTGATTTTAGGGTTTAGGTGTTGACGGTTTAGGGCCAAGTTGAGCCGTTGATTAATCAACGCGCTATTTTTAAAGGGGTGATGATAGGGATTGAATCAGCGGTCTGCTGTAACCCCGTTGGCCCCTGCACCGTCTCCACTTCCCTCAAAGACACTGATGTTTTGAAGCCCCAGAACTCCAAACCCTAAACCCTAACCTGTAAAACCCTAAACCCTGAATCCCCTAAACCTTAAGCTCGAAGACCAACCCTGAACGCTGACAAGGGGGGGGGGCAGGGGTCAAGCGACTTCCAAGACCTTCTGGACACCCGGTAGTTGGAATATTGGAAGTTATAGACAAAATCCCTTCATCCGACTCTTGTAGCCCTTTACCCCTCAGGTGACTTTTTTAGTTCTATAATGATTCCATTCGGGAGCTCATAGGTTTTATGCGTGTTGTAAGTGCTTCTGAGGGTCCAAAGGTTGCAGCTAAGTCTTCTTGGGGAGTAGATAAAGCCTGCGACTGATGATAAGGTATGGGTACCCTTGCGAAAAGTTGCGGACCTGGCTCTTACTTGGTAAGGCTATCGGAATTCTTACAGCGTGTAGGAGGACAACCCCAGGTACATAATTCAGGGGAGTTTAGTAAACCCGGGGCAGACAGGCTCTAGAGGAACCTGTCAAACGCTGCATGCTGATTAATTCAGCCCCGAAGCCATGCGCGATACACTCCAAAATCCTATAACAAGCCTGTAAACCCTAAAGCCCTAAACCCCGAGCTGCTTTTAAACCCCAAACCCCTTAGCCATAAGTCCAACAATCCTAAACCCTTATAGTACCCTGAAAAGAGCCCGAAACCTAAACCTTAAGGCACAGAAACACTTCGATAAAGGAACCCCCAAAGAACCTGAAGAGGATCCCTTAAAGGAACTCACAAAGGAGCCCTAAAAAGCCCATCCTAAAGCCTAAACCCTAAGCCCTTAAAGGAACCCCAAACAGGAACCCTGCAAAGCCTATCTAAACCTGAAAAGGAACCCCCCGAAGGAGAAACCGTAACCCTAAACCCTTAAAGTAAAGAAACCCAAAAAGGAGCCAATAAACGCCCCAAAGGATCGAAGCAAACGGCATGGGCATGGCCCGCGCGCTGCGAGCCGGTCGGCTGATGCGATTCCTTCGCTCTCCGGCGCTTTGGGGCCTAGGGTTAAGGGTACTGTAGGGATCTTATTATTTACCTATACTATTTTGGGGGTTCCTTATTCTAATATACCCCAAAACCCTATTCTAATTACGAAGGCCACTACATCACTAATTACAAGGGTTCAAGGTTTTCGGGCTCAGTGTTTTAAGGATCTTTGGGTTTGGGGGCTTAGGGTTGCCTTAACTTAAAGGGCACTATGGGGTTCCATGTTTTCGGGCTGAGGGTCTTAGGGTTAGGGCTTTAGGGCTTTAGGGCTCAGGGTCTAGGGGTTAGGGCTTTCGGTGTTGAGGGCGTGGTAGTTCAAGCGTTTCTGGGTTTCGGCTTGATGGGTATTGCGGATTTAGGGTTTAGGTTTTCGGGCTTCGAGGTTAGCGCTTTTCCTTTGCCGGGTGCAGCGTTTCAGCATTGAGTGTTCGCGGTGGAGGATTTCTTGTACTGGTGCTTTGGGGGTAAGGTTCTCAGTAGATCCATGGGTGTCAGAAGTGAAGGAAGAGATGGAAGAGATTGACCGAAGCCCTAAGCCCTAACGTTTAGCGTTTAGGGCCTAATCCCTAAACCCTAAGCCCTAGCTCTATCTTTCCTAGGGGTTCTCATGTCGCATGCTTGCTTCCCGTCTTGCACCTCACCTGACTGTGCTCCGTACCACAAAACTGCCTAGTATTGGGGCCTTTAGGATTTGAACAGGGTTCTTGAAAGTGTTCCTCTTGAGGGTTCTACAAGAGTTGCTGTTACTGTTACGGATGCCATAAAACCTTAGGTTTCATAAGTAGAATCGGGGTTTTGGGAGTGTGGGGGTCCAGTATACTTAAGTCTGACAGGGGCTATAAAGGGGATCTTCAAAGGTATTGGTCGGACCTCGGTATCAACCGATTCCTTCCATGTAAAAAGTCTTCGAAACCCCCAACCGTCCCCCAAACCCTAAAACCTTAAACCCTAAACCCTAAAACCCTAAACCCTAAAACCCTGGAATTATGTGAAAGGAAGCCCTGCGTGCAGGTCTGAGTGTAGCGGTTCGTATGCTGAGAGCAGCTAGTGTTCTGAACGCCGTTTATATGTAGCTCTTTTGTGGACCAAGGGAGGACGATCTTTAGGTCCGCTGCCCATGGTTGCGCGGCCTGAAGGGTGCAGTGTTGGCTGCACCTTATGGGACGGATGTCCCGTCGGGTGAGGCCAAAGGCCATGGATGTTGTTCCACCTCTGAACGACGGTGCTGCTATGGGTGAAATCTACTTTAGAGAGGCCGTTGGTTCTGAGTTTGACTATGTGGTCTTTGAAGCTTTGGGCGAGCGCTATGAAAGGCTTGGCCTGGCGGTAGGCCAGGTGATCCGAACCTATGAGGTCAACAGCGATGGTATGTTTTTGGACCTGCGCTACTTAGGTACCAACAACCCATATTATCGCTGGTATATTGAAAACGAGGGCAAGGATGGAGGCCTACCTCGAGATGCTTACCACCACCTTTGCCGTCGTCACGCCTCACGCTGCAGCCAGAACTTTGGAATGAAAGATGTGATTCATATTCAAAAGTGGGCTGCAATCTCAAGGGCTACTGCAAGTGACTTGTTGGAGTCCTGGGGGCTCCCGAAGCTTCCTCCTGATCGAGCTCCCCGAGACGATGGCAAAGGAGCTTTGGTGCAAGAGGTTCACAGTGGGAAGCGGAGCGGGGTGCAGGCCCTGCCAGGTCCCAAGGTTGAGGAGCCAGAGCATGATGATGATGAAGAGGAGGACACCGTAGGTGCTGCAGCTTCTCGGCCGGCGGTTAAGAAGCGAAAGAAAGGGTTTACCAAAGGCGGCCAGTAGCTTTGGATGCCATGCTTGATGATGGCGCGGACTCCATTGCAGAGGGCAAGGACACGAAGGTTGAGAAGAAGCTTGGGCTACTTCGTGCGAAGCTTCTTGGAAAGAAAGAAGAAGTTCGGTCTCGGGGCCCTGGCTCAGTGTTGGCTGGGCGGGCTGTAGAGGCGGCCGAGAAAGTGAAGACAAAAAGGTCAAAGCAGCCGAGCGTGATCCGCAATTTGCAGAAAGCCTTGGTCGGCAAAAGCCGAAGCCGAGGTTCTAAGGAACCAGACTCCTCAGGTGAGAGCGACGAGGACGCCGAGGAGGAGGACGAGGACCTGGACTTCGCAAGCTCTGGCTGGGAACAGCGGCGAAAGAAGCTAAGGAGGACTGCCGAGGAACGCCCCGGCAAGTTGTTGCTTTCGGGTTTGCAGGCTATGAGAGCAACTGGGACAGGTCACAGGGGACGACTCGACGGAGGCCATGTCCCCAATCATGGTCCGCTACCTCCTGACAATGGTGCTGCCGACTCACCCGATTAAGGTCATTGGGGAGGCGAAGTACCGGGAGCTTCGCACGCTATGCCAGGCTTTGGATGCTTTGTTGAAGGGCAAGGTGGATGCAGCCGGGGACCTTCTCATGCAGCGCTTTAAGTCCCTTGTCATGTCGCTGAGGGACCACAGTGATAAGTTTGGCCGGTTCCTGGAGCTCATCCCGGAGGAGATGATCGGTGTGTCGCCCGAGGAGACCTTTTATGCCAGAGAGTTGGCGCACAAAACCGCGAAAGCGGAGAAGCTGCTGGGCCAGGGACTCCGCGGGGGAGTGCTCAAAGCCACGAGCCTCTCTCAGCGCGACCCTTTATATCATCGGCAGCCAAAGATGGAGCAGAGCCCAGAGAAGGAGGAGAAGGACGAGAAGCCAGCATCCCCACGCCGATCGCCATTGGCCCGTCGGAGGCCAAGCCCCATGCGGGGCAAGGAGGAGCGAAGGGTGACTTTCGTGGACGAGCCCCAGACGGAGGCCACCCCCAAGAGGATGCAGATGGCGGTCTCCGAGGCCAGGCAAAAGACACCGCGGAAGCCGGGCGAGACGAAGAAGGCCTGGAAGGACCGAGTGTTCCAGACAGCTCGGGGACAAACCCAAGGGTGACGGCCTTTGGGGGGAACGACCCAGGTGATGGCCTGGGGGTTTTTACCCAGGGTGTGGTGCCCGACCCAGGTGATGGCCTGGGGGTTTTTACAGAGGGTGTGGTGCCCAACACATGTACAGTTTCTGGTGTCGGCCAGAAAAGTGATGGGCGATCGCGTGCCTTTCTGGAGCTGCGGGATATGTGCTTGCATGGTTGTGATAGTTGCTTAAATGAGAGATTCGCTGGACTTCTATGTGAGGGTCTACCAGAGAGTCGTTGTATGTTGCAGTTGGGGATTACAGTGCTACAGCTCCTGCTTTGTTCACCACGAGATGGATCTTTCTTAGCCGGAGTGTGCGCTCTGGTGCAAACAAAAGCCACGCCTATTCTTAGGGACCGGGACGTGTTACCTCTCCCCGTGCCTCCGATAGGAGCTGTCTTGCGCTTGTGCAGGTGCCTAACGCGATCATCAACGGGACTCTTCAGGTGGGACCCTCAGGACCTTAAGCATATGGGCAAGCAACAATCACGAAAGCTGGTGAAGGCCAGCTGTTTTCAACTTTGGCGTTTGCTCATCGTTGCGGTGCATAATGGTGAGTACCAGTCCTGGGACGGAGATGGTTTTTGTGAAGGTGAGTTTCCGGGGAATGCCAGCCAAGCGAGTGCTTTTGCACATTTGGATGAGTTGTGCAATTATTTTGCTAGAGCACCTCTCGATGAACGATGTGGAATGAGCCCTGAGGACGTGCTTAAAACCAAAGGGGTGGATTACACTGGGGATGAGGTTCTCCATGCACTTCCTTTGAAGGTCGGGGAACTTTTGCCGGGACTTCCTGCCGATGGTGTTGCCGGCAGCTTGCAGGCGAGCGATATTGCACAAGGAGATGTCGCAAAGTGGTTGTTGGATCCACAGCTCGCCTTGTTACCCCGAGATAAGTGGCCCGATCCTTTGCCGCGTGCCTCTATGAATTGTACCAAGGATGACTGGTATGAGTTAGTGCCATTGTTGGTAAAGAAGCGCATTTTGGAGCCCATCAGCAAGTCCGAGATTTTCACAGTCAATGGTGTCCCCGTCCTAAATGGAGCGTTTGCTGTCCCGAAGAAGGGCACACCTGGTATTGGCCAGGTTCGGGTGACACGGCTCATTATGAACATGATTCCAAGCAATGCATTACAGCGTCTGATGCAGGGGGACCTCGCTACACTGTCGGGTTCATCGGGGTGGGTGGGGGCCCATCTGAAACCGAATCAAGTCCTATTATGGTCGGGTGAAGATCAACGGGGGGCATATTATGCATGGTCATTGCCTCCGGTGTGGCGTAAGTTCATGGCTTTCAAGTGGTCAGTGCCGGGCTATTTAATCGGAAGGCCTGGAGAGTCGGAGGTGTTTTTGTCCGCAGCAGTTATCCCGATGGGGTGGGTGAATGCTGTGGGTCTATTCCAGCACCTACACCGACGGCTGGGATTAGCTCCTCCACCTAGCGGCGCAGGCCACCGAGAGGATCAGGAATGGTGTCGCGATCGCCCGGTGCCAAGCTCTGCCGTTTCTGAGGATGGCGGTTGGGTTCAGTTTTACCTTGATGATTTTGATTGCCCTGAGTTCGTTGACAAGAATATTTGGAAACGTCTTCAAGGTACGATGTCAACTAAACATCAACTGCAGAGGGAGGCCTACAAACACGTGGGAGTGGAGGTTTCTGTGGATAAGTCACATGTACGTGAGCCACGTGTTGTTCGTATGGGAGCTGCGGTGGATGGCATCGCTGGCTTTGTCGGACCGCCTTCGGATAAGCTTTTGGAGACCGGGTGGCTGTGTGTGTGGGTGCTTAGCCAAGCCACTGTGGGTGTGAAGCCACTTTTGATGGCACTGGGTCGCTTGGTAAGGTGTTTTGAGTTTCGGCGTCCTCTTTTGTCGATCCTAGATAGGTGTTGGCCTCGGGATCAATACAGGTTTCGACGGGGTCTTAGCCAAATTACCGCCAGAGAACTGGTGAGAGCTGTTTGTGCGCTTCCTTTGGCTGTGGGCTCTCTGCGAACGCCCTTTTCAGGCCTGGTTACATGCTCGGATGCTTCAACAGAA